AATCTTTTATTTTAAGTCGTTTTGTTAGTTATTGATTAATTACTGGGGGGATAGATCGCGATCATAACGGAACACAAGATTTTATTTATATTTAACTTATACAACATGTTAATAATTCATAAATAAATCTGGCCAGCAGATCGATCTTTCGTTTGTAATGTTATCAGACGCTGGCGCGTTTCACCACCCGCGATATATGGAGACGCAAGCAAAAAGGTATTCAATCTTATCTCTACTCTGTCTCTCTTTTTGCACTTCCGCGTAACTTCTATGTGAGCGCCGGTGTTTGTGGTTAAGCAATCAGCAAATATATAGCTTTAAGCACCTCCACAGTAGTGTCTCTGAGGACCTGCAGTCGGACCGAGCCCCAAACTCATTCACACACACACATGCATATACACACACGCATACACAAACACACATGCACACACATGCATATACACACACATGCACACGCACACACACATGCACACACACACATGCATATACACACACATACACATGCACACACACAAACACACACACATTCACACACAAACACACACACATGCACACACACAAACACACACACATGCACACACACAAACACACACACATGCATACACAAACACACACACACACATGCACACACACAAACACACACACATGCATACACAAACACACCAATTGTCACTCTCTACAGGTGTTTCATGTGATATACGACGATGTGGTCAGGAGGAGCATATTTGCACTGGCGCTCCTAGTTATGAAATGGTCGTAGTCGGGAAGCCTGTGGAGCTCCCCCAGATAGCACACATATGTTGAAATGACATTGATTCCATATCAGACAAAAAAGGATGAAACAACGTTGATCTTCAATCTTTATATCAACATTGAATCAAGGTTTTGCGACCATCAACTTTTCAATATTGAAAATCTGACCAAAAATCAATTCAGTTTCAATGTTGATAATTTAACACTGACCACAACAACAACCATAACAATAACATGGCGCTATCTGGGAGACTTTTAATTTCTTACACTGATTTAATTCTTTGATTTTTTTTTTTACGTTACACAGGCAATCGCCAGCGAACTTAGATCTTCACACAAGTACACTGCATGCTTATTAGCTCACAGGCGCTGAGATTGACTATTTGGGTATCGGAATTTGGCACCGAAAGATAATACATTTTTCGAACCTCCATATGATCGGAGCATTCCGGTCAGTACCACACAAGTACCGAAGTTCAGTACCCAGTCCTAACCACTAGAGTATTATAAAATGCTATTTCGAAAGCAGTGCTATTGCACATGTAGGCCATCTGCTTTTTGATTCCCTCCCCTTTTCTGCACCCAGTAAAATGACAAACCATCCAGTTACAAGGACTGATCAAAACTGCTTTTGCACAATACCAGCGATGGATACATACTATATCACGTTTAACAAAAAGAAACAGAAGTTGTACATGTAAGTGTAGTGTGGCTGGCAGCTTATACCCTTGGTGTTGGCACTAGGATGGCTTTAATTTTGGTGATTATAAACAAACTGATGCAAATGCAGTTTTGCAGTTCCCTCTTTGTCCACTAGATGCCACCATCTTTGCGGAGAGAGAATGAGAGCGCCTGCACTCACTCAGCATATTTATAATGCCACTCTCCAGTGACTGGGTCCTGCTCGAAGAGTCCCGGGATCCACGCCTCACACTTGGCCTTGCGCTCGCGTGCCGATTTCCTCTGCGCTTCCTCCAGGAGGAACTTCTCGTTGGTGGCCTCTGTTTGGTCCTTGTTGTTGATCGCCCGGGTCACATGTTGCCACAGCCTGAGGAAGAATGATAGAAATTTACCAAAAATAACCTAAAACACGTTCATCAGATTTTATTGAATACGATCAAGCAGCCCTAGAACAATCTCAATGTGCTGCTATACACAGTCAATAAACTAAAGACCGATGACATCACTCTCCTACACACATCAGGATGGGCAGCAGCACTGACTCACTTCTCTGACTCGAAGTCTCCCTGGTCCTCGAGGAGCACCGTCCTGCGAGTCAGCCGGCTCCTCCTCAGGTCCGGTGTGGGGTTCCAGAAGGTTTCCACCATGCAAGTCTTCTTGTCATTGATGAGAACCTCGCAATCCTGTAGGGAGGTGGGCAGCTTTCTCCGTGTTTTGATGGCAAAAGCAGAAGCACACCTCCCACCTCATCCTCATGCCAACATGGCGGACAAACACCCCTCCCACCTCACACTGCCAGCCTCACGCCTTTACATTACCCCCCCCACGCCGTTTCTATTTTAGCCAGAACCCAGAAAGGATAGATCTGAGTAAGAGGGCTACAGGGTCAGTCAAAGGACCTCCTTCAATGTGAAAAAACAAGAGGTGCACATTTCACAATGAATACGGGTGATTTGTGCTGTAGGTTGAGCAGGGTGTATGAGATTTTCCAGCTTGACGGACATGGGGGAGCTCAGGTGACCCATCTGAACAGGCAATACGTGTGAAGGACGTACCCAGTGCCCCTCCAGGGTGGCCAGAACCTCCTTCCCCAGTTTGATCTTCCCGGAGATCTGGTTCACACTGTCGTTGCTGCCCAAGAAGGGCTATGGAGGAAAATATGACACTGTAGGTGTTAAAAATATTAACTCCAAAAAAAGAAATTAACAGTTTGAAGAGTTTTATGTAGTGTGGTCACATTTATGCACTATTACGTAATCATTATATAAAGAAAAATGCATGCTGCAATGGGAATCTGTTTACCTGAAAAAACATTGGATCTGTGGTCTGCTTTTTTTTTTTTATTTCACAAACTAAAACTTAAATTATCTGAATACACACTACTAAAAAAACCTACAAAAACATGGTCACTCTTGTTTCTGGAACCTTCTAATAAATGAGATCCTGCACCTTAAGCTTGAACTCCAGCTGGGCGCTGTAGCCGGTCTTCTCACACATGATGGTGACCTGGCCTCCCAGTTCCAGGGTCATGGTCCCATATAAGATTCCTGAGGGGCAAGAAATCAACACTGCACAAGGCATTCTGGGTAAAATTCATCATTACTGGGGCTCTTGAGGCGCCAGAACTGCTTACTGAGAAGGCAATCATAACAGAAGTGCGTTAAGCTGTTTGCGATCCAGCCGACATTAGCACAGAAATGTCGTTATTCCTTCAGGATCAACACCGATTACTTTGTGACGCAGTCGACGAAGAGCAACATCCCACTGTGGAACTAATTAAGTGTACACTGGGCATACTGGGTACCACTGTGAATAAGGGGCTTTCGTTTGTTATGGAGACCAACCAAACGATACCTCTCTTTCATCCACAGAAGCTTAAACATGTCAGAGATAGCAGAAGACAGGGGCCTGCTGGTTGCTATATACAGTTCATGCTGAGTGACAGGAGCAAAGGGGTAAATTATTTTGTACTTGCGGCTCGGGGGAAAGGGATATAGGAAGAGCAAAAGCGTTTTATTATCATAGCTAGATGTCACAAACTAGCAAGAAGCCCAACCTGAAGACACACAGCTCTATTCTCACAGCTAGAATCTACACGGTTACCTTTACAGTGGGCGTATGGCATGTTCATGACGTAATCCTCCCCCCGATTAAGAAAGGTCAGCCGGGCCTCTCCATCCAGGATGGCCGACAGGGAGTTTCCTGAGAACAGACCAGACCGTGTCCTTCACATGCCGCGCAGCGCCGGCACCATTATAAATATATGACAATGGATTCCAGGAGCAGCCATTTGGAAAGACAGCGAGGTCGTCGTGCAAGCGGAGGCAGGGTTAGGCGCTGCTCACCGTAAAACTTCGACTTGGCCAGGATGCTTCCACTGAGGCAGAAACCATCCTTCCTGTTGCTCACATAAAAGGCTGACACTGGGGGATGATGGGATACCTGACAGGGAGAAGATAATGAAGCTAGAGGTGCAACAATGGGGCAAGTATGATCTATGAAAACTGACAGGAGACCAGCTTGAGAGTTAAGAAAGAAACTCATTGTCCAGGGTCTGGAACGTCGTGACCTGACCACAGGACTGTGAATATCGCCACCTGACTGTAGCAGAACGGGCCAATGAGACCATAAAAACCACTGAACATGCCAAAGGCCTGCAATGGGAGTCTCCCATGTGCATCACCTGCTCAGAGATGTAGAAGGTCTTGCTGTTGGTCTTGGGGTGAATCCACAGGCATCGGAAGGTCTCCCCGATGATGGGGTTGTATGGTTTCTTCAGGCCCTGGATGGGGGGCAAAGCAGAGGAGACTGTCAAGCAGCAGATATGGAGAACGTGCTGGACATTGAGGCTCTTCAGTGTCCACAGAAGAGCAGGAGGACAGCCTTTACCTTCGGCTTTTTGTAGAACCCAGACAGGTACCACTTGACCACCTTCTTCATCCGATTATAGGCATTTTCCTCCACAGCCGCCCTATCGAAACAGTCAAAAGCCTGAACTCACTTTTAGGCGAAATCTACATACTAGAGGACATTAATAGCATCCAGAGGTGGATACTTCAGATCCAGAAAGTACAAATTTAGACCAAGATTGTGTGTCAACCAACCAGTAAAGTCCTCTGTGACTGTGACTGCTTATACTGAACTAGTTGGCTGAAACAAGATCTTGCTGTGGATTTTTACTTTCTAGACCTGAACTGTGCACCTCTGATTGCTTCCTACTTTGGTATCTTTTAAAGGGGAATAACTCTGAGCGGCAGTATGTGATATACAACTCGGCACAGAAGATGTCTAACCACACTGGGTACCATCATCAACTTTGAAACAATCGGTATTAGATTATGAAGGTCACAGGATGCGAGACTTGTGTGGAACTCACTCGGACAGGAAGTCTGCATGGTAATAGTAGTCAGACAGCTTGTCCAGGAAGGAGCGCGGCTCCAGGATGAATGTGGGCAGCACCACCTTGGACAGGTCCATGCCAGGCCTGACCTGCTTCAGCAGGGTCCATATCAGGGATTTGTTTTCCTCTGATACCGTCTCCGTCTGCGAAGCTTCGCCTGCCTGAAACAGCACACAGACACAAAGGCACATGGGGATTCAGAGTTTAAAACACGACCCACGTGGTCTGTTATCTAGCATGTTGTGCTCAATATGCAAATGTGCATTACATAAACCAGTCGCAAACTAATTTAACCTTTTCTGGTTGGCAGCCAATTTACACTAAAGTGAAACTGCAAAAAAATCTATTTGCAGCTTATCATCCTTACCACACATCGGGGGAATGAATTCTCGTCTTTAATCCGGGCATCACATTTTCACACATTCAGCCTCTACCTGCTCATAATGGCCGCAACAGCGCCAGTCATAATATTCCCAGGGTAGCTCAGCCTGAGGGTGAAACTCATATCTGCACTGACTGAAATAATTAACACCAGAGATTCTTATCTAGTATACTGCATGTCTAACTGCATTAATTGTATGCTGTTGTTCCTTGTACTGGAGATGCCTGAATGAGCACCTATGCGATTGTGCACATGGCCAATTAAGCATCTTAAACACACTCAGCGGCCCAATTAAAGTGACTCACATGAACCCGTCCACCAGCCCAACCACCAACAGTGCAGCTCAACCTTTTCATCATGTCACCTCTCCAAGACCGCTGAACCCTGCATCGTTTCTGGCTCACTCTAAACAGGTTCCTTTAATTAAAATCCCATCAAATCAACATGGCTGTTGAATGGGGTCTATGCAGCTAGAATAAGGAATTGAAGTCTGGATCCATCCATGGCAAATTAACTGCATTAAGCTTGCAAAGCACTCTTCATTTCTGTATAATAAAACGGGGCTCTACAACGAGGGACTTGCAGACCTTTGAGAAATGTCAAATGCAATATGGGCTATCCCCATACCATTATGGGAATTAACATTATTATTTTGGTCATTTTTGCACAAATCCCCGTTTATTAAGCTACCTTTTACCATTAGTCACACTTCATTCCTCATTTTTCATAATAATATATCCTGTGCATGGGGCACAAAAATGACTCTGTGGGCAACACAGGGTTGGAGGTTCGAATCCTGCCTCTGCTCTCTGTGCGTGGAGTACGCATATTCATTCCGGACACTCAAGGGGACCACCATCCTGGCCAAGTACAAGCATGCACCCCAGCCCAGTGCCCTGCGTGTCCAGGAGAGGCTTCAGGTGACCAGGCTACGCAGTTGGAAGACGGATGAATATTCTGCTTGTAACTTTAATTACAATTTTAAGGGATCTAATGAGTGAATTCAAACATCTTTCAGCCATGAAAATGAGAGCTCATTGACAGTAATCGAAACAGCAAGTAACAGTGGCTGATGATTCAGTTCACTGGATTCGGTTCTCTGATAAAAAAAACGACCGTTGAAAAAAGGTGGCCAGGGTTTTTCCTGCTTACAGACCGTTATCACAAAAGCGTAACACACAAAGAACAGCGTGTCAGACGACTGTGGAGCATACAGACTGGGGTCCTATGGGGACCCCCCCCCCCTCACCAGGCTCAGCTGTCCCACCCTTCACTTGCTCTCATCTCAGTAATTCCTAGCATAATTTTTCAAGAGCAGGAGTTTAACGGTCTTTGAATTTGACGCCGACTGGCCACGCACCATTACACACCTCTGATTGGTCACTCGACAGCCGGTTAAGTTGAATGTAATGGAGGGACTTTCCACAGTAATCAACCATTAACAGACAAAGTAAATTAAGAGTCTGTAGGAGTCACAATGATTCTGAGGACGCCTCTTGTCTGTACCCCCTCCCTCAAAGCCATGCGGAGCCCGGCTGACCTCCCCCAGCTCCTCGTGGGATTGCTCCGTGTAGGGGGTCTCCTGCAGTGCCTCCATGGGCTCCGGCTCCATGTAGGAGTCATCCTGCCGCTCCGACGTGTCGCTGTCGCTCTCCTCACTCTTCTCCAGCCCCTCGTTCTCCGACTCCTGCTCATTCTCTCGGTCCGATTTGTCAGAGTACAGGTCCGGGTCTTTGAAGTGCTCACTGTCGTTGAAGCTGTGGGCAGGTTGGGGGAGTAGGGTGGGGAGGTGTGGGGACACACCGCATCAAGGCTCCTTCACTCGGAAGAACGAAGAACCCAAACGATAATGTTGGATGACTGCTTATGTGTTGCTCAGGTGAAAGGACGAAAGATGAAAAGGTGAAAGGTGAAAAGGTGAAAGGTGAAAGGGTCAAAGGTGAAGGAGGGCGAGGGCTCACTGGAAGCCCTCGTGGCCCTGCAGGTTGTTGGAGCGCAGCAGGTCGTACAGGCGGACATGGGAGTGCTCGGCCCCGGATCCCGGCTCCTCCTTGCCCTCCCGGATCATGGTGCGCTTCAGCAGGCCGGAGCACTTCAGCGCCAGCTCTAGGGCGTCCATCCAGCAGCGGCCTGGACACGGAGAAGCACGTCGTCACCATGCTGCCTGTCCGGCACCGACCCGGACGCGGGACGCCCACACCGCCCCGTCTGGCGGCTTTGCCTCTTACCGTCGGACTCAGAAGCAGCGCGGAAGATAAGGTGGCTGCTGGGGAGGGGTTGAGTGATGGAGCCCACCGCCTCCCCTTTGGGACCCTGGAAGAGAAGCGGGGGCCAGTGCGGAGGTGTTGAGCGAGGAAGCAGCAGCGTACGTGTGTGTGTGTGTGTGTGTGCTTCTGTATGGGTGTGAGCGCTGCCAGGGCAGCGACGCACTCGGCTGATGTGCCATGAAAGGGATGCCAGGTTTTAGAAGATATCGACACAATCCCTCCCGACAAAGGGGGGATTTATGGGATTACGGGAGTAGAGCCGCATCTGCTCCACCAAGCGCGGGCACTGAGCTCCTGATTGGCGGCTGAAGCTCCCATTCGGGAATTTAGGCCGTGCTTAAAGCGTGTGCTATTTCGGAATTTCGGAAGGCTCCAATGCGGGACGCTTTTTTATTCGACGGCGAACAAGCGATCCTCCATCAACCTGATTGCTTCACACATTCATACTCCTCTAGGGATTCTTGTAATCCTCATATGATACAAAAAAGTCAAAGAGTAGCTGAGAGTACAAGGAATTATGGGTCATTTGTGATCAATATGTCTGCGCTAGACTCCCCTAAATACTTTGTAAAAACAAAGGGAAGATGCAACATGATTGTTTCATGATTCAAAATTCTTATCAGTTTGTAGACTTGTGTGGGTAGAGGGATAAAGGTCAAAGGTCGCACCTTGACGGCCCAGATGGACTGCTCCAGCGGGTGGAACAGCTTGAAGCAGAAGCCGTCCTTCTTGGAGGGCCTCTCGATGAGCTCGCAGGCGCCCAGCAGCACGGTGCCCACCCACTGGCCCTTATTGGCCGTCTTGTAGATGAGCAGCACGCCTGGCTTCAGCACACACCACAACTTGGTCCAGCTCTTCAGCGTTCCCCGGATCTGTTTGGAGAGATGGACCCAGCGCTGTCAAATCGTGACCCAACTCGTTCCATCTCCTGTACCCATGCCTGCCAATACTAACGCCCCCTGACCTTGAGCCAGTCGGCCATGACGATGACGGACGGATCCGTGATGGTGCTCAGCAGCTCCTTGGTAGCACGCTTCTTCTCCTCCCTGTAGTTCTTCTTCTGGACCTGCAGGACCATGGATGGACAATGAGGACCTCACCCAAAGCTTGGTCAGGTACACAGCAGTAAGTGAGGCTGGAGTAGAGAGTGTGTCTGATTTACCCACATCCACAAGTAACATATAATGTAAGCTAAAACTCAGAGTGATTCTTGAGCTTCTTAGAAGCTAATTTCACATGATGATTGGCAAGTTCTAGACATCCAGGTTCCCTCACTGGTAACGGTGCCTGACTCCCGGATAGCGCCCATCCGAGTACACATACCCTGAGGGACTCCTTCTTCGTGAGCTTGTTCCCGGAGGATGCAGTGTCTCTGTCAGACCCATTGTAGAGCTTCGTCTCTGACTGGGGG